GAGAAATTGTAATAAGATTAGATTGAAGTGGAATGGTTGACATTAATTCATGAACAATTTTAGCCATAGTCTTATCATGTCTAAAACAATTATTAACGTCATCTCTATTATTAAATAACTTTGCTTGTTTCATTTCATCAATATCTGAATAGGAAGATTTAGTTGGTAGAGATAGAGATTTTTTGGAATTTGTTTCAAATAAATGCAAGTGAGCATAATGTTGATTGAAATTAGGTTCATATTTGTTACTACTAATAGAATTTAAATAGGTTCCTAATAATTCTTTCAATACACCTTTGGTTTCTGTTGCAAGAATGACATGATCACCACTCTCAACATCAAACATTGGTAAAACCATTGCTTTAAAACCCTTGTAATCTTCACAATCATTTCCACTTGATTCTGAAACAAAATATGTTTCTGCTAATGTTCTAATATTGTCTTCTAATAGTTTTAAATGCTTTAAAATACTGTTGTGAGCTTTAGACTCACTATTAAATTCTAACTCTTCTGTTAAAAAGTTATCTCCCAACCATTTATCAATTTTACCTGCTTTTTCCTTCTTTGAATAATTATTAGTCTTTAAATTTACCAAGTAAGAATTCTATTATTTCTTGACATTCTGTCATTATCTCATCAACAAATTCATCAAGCTTTTTAGACTGATATTTGGAGCTAGAAATAAGTTTAGGTAAGCAAAGAATTGCTGTTCTACTAATCTCTTCAACTAGTCTTGTAGCTTTAATGAGTTTATCTCTAATTATAGTCAACTTGAAATATCTTTTAGTCAACTTTAACTCATTTGAATGATTTTTAGAATCTAAATTTGGAATTGGATATAACATGAAATTATCTTTCAAAAATTCTAAAACTTGAACTTTTGGTTCTACAAATTCCACCTTGCCAATAATTTCACTGACTCTATTTGATTTATCAAAAGGTACATCATCAAACTTGTAATCAAAATAATCTTCTAAAAGTTGAGAGAATTCTATTTCTTTTTCAGTGACCTCTTTTTCTGAAAGAGAATTTAAGAATTCTATTGAAGCATTCTTCATACTAGTATATTTTCCTCCATAAGTATAAACAAACATTTTAGGAGAACGTTGTGCAGAGTGATGTGAGAATACCTTTCCAACAATATCAAATATGTCTGTTGGGAAAATAGAACGAAAATTATTTGGAAATATATTAATGGTATCTGAAATTAAACTTGCTTCTATTGCTAATCTATTAAAAAGTAAACTGTATTCACCACTGAACAAACCTGGTACATCAATAATTTCCAATTTTTGTTCTTTCAATAGTGGAATTGGAGCAGTTATACGAAATAATTTGACATGATACATATCATCCTTGGTCATGGATAATTGTCTTTGTTCAATATTACTTTCAGACTTTGTGCATTTTTGAAACGAGTTATACCACTATATAATTTAGGAATATAATATAATTTGGATCGAGTTGATATTGTGTTTCTTGACATCTTTCTCTCAACTCTTCATCTGTGCAAAGAATAATTTCCATTGAATAATCTTTGCCATATTGAAGATTAATTAAACTCTTGGTAACATGATTATTTCCACTTGAAGAAGGTAAAATATCAGCCTCAATCATTGTATTAATAAATCTACTCTTACCAACTCCAGCATTGAGCAAAGAATAGATCCTTAGAAAAAAACAACAAAATGGTTTTGATGAGCGTTTGGATAAAAAAAAAAAATTGCGAACTCTCCATGTTTAGAAATTTACTGTTTAAAAAAATTCCTTAAATATCCCAAAACATTAGCCAAGATGTTTACCCAATACAAATGATTATGTATTCAAGCTGGTCAATGAATTGAAAACACATTGTTTAAACGTAATTCCTTGTAATTATCGTAAATCGATAACATTTTGTAAAGTTTATGAAAAAAACATTGTTTTACTCACTAGGAACAACCTTAATGTTTACAATAGTTGGAAATTATCTGAAACTTCACTCTTGATAGAGTGGAAACCATCTTCATTACACACATGTCACAATTGCATTTCAATAGATGAATTGTTAAATGGTACTATCATCACTATCTTCAATTTCACTCATCGAACTTGTTATTAATTCCTCTTCCAAATCAGAAGTATAACCAAATTCTTCCTCTTCATCTGTTGATGATACAATGTCCTCATCTGCAACATTACTATTCCTAATTGTTGTTGTTGTTATTGTCTTTTTAGAAGTAATTTTAGTAGTAATTTTAGTGTTTTCTTTTACTGGTTCTGATAAATATTGTAAAAATTCTTGTGATTTTTGAAAATCCAATTCATCTTGTCTAAAAGGTAATAAAAAACCTTCTTTTAAATCATCTGGTATTTCAAAATCTTTAACAGTCCAAATTTGAGTTGATTCTATAAAAGATGAATCATTATTTTCCATAAATTCTCTAGTTTCATTTAAAAAAATAGTTTCAAATAATTTTGATATTGATTTAAAATCATTATTAATATTTTTTAATTTAGAATATGCTTTTCTAAATTCAATTCCAAATTGATATCCAAATACAACTGGTACTGCATTTCCTATTTGAGTATATTTCTCTTTTAATTTTTGACTTTTACAATATGGTACTTTATCATCTACAAATATAAATGTATCTGGAAATCCTTGAATTCTAGTACATTCTCTAACTGTTAATATTCTTGATTCTATTTTAAAATATTAAATATTAAATATAAAATAAATATATAATAAATATAAATAAAATTAAATAAAATTAAATAAATATATA